TTGGACCCAGGTCCAAGTGGACAGCGTGACTCCTTCAGCTGGCGGCAGTAGCCGACTGTTATCCTCCAGCTGGGTGGGATATAACACACCCTCGCACTGCACACACCAGGGACAGACCCAGGGTCATGCACTAGTGTCTATTTGAATTTATATGTTTTGCAGCTTAATACCTCAGCCAGCCACTTACAGGCCTGAGCTAACAGGACTCTCGTATTTCACTTCTTGGATGATAGAACTGCTGGGAGGAACCCGGCTGGTGGGTTATTTCAGGGGTGCCTCTCCAGCCCCCCTGAAATCTTAGGAAAACCCATTGGAAAGAAAATCATGAAAACAACCACAGACACATTCAGGGCCCTTCAGGCCCCTGCCCAGCAGCTGTGGAAAGCAGTGCTAGGACCCAGGATGGGCAGCAGGAGTCCAAGGCTCTGCTGGGGGATCGTGGGCGAGTTTACCTCTGTTTCCCCATCTATATAACATAGAGAATGACACTCACCCACCTCTGTGATGGGCTTGACCATCTATGGCTTGGAAGCGCTGCGTGGGTGGCAAGCAATTCTTATAGCACGCCCTGACACCATCCCACACAGCCAGCAGGCAGGTGGCAGAGGTTCAGGCCGCAGTGCTGGGTTCGAACACTGCTGCTAACTCATCGAGGTGATCACCATGGATACAGCTGTGGACACACAACAGAGCACGTGCATGTATCTTCAGCGTGTCAATGTGTGTGCGAGAATGTCTGCCTGTCTGTGCTCATGCTCGCTGAGCTGCATGCTCTGTGTCTGCACTGGTCGGGATCTAGGTGTGAATGTCTCCCCTGCGTGTACACGTGTGCGTGTGGCGGTGAATTTGGGCACTGAGCTGCACCAGAGAGGAGCCACGCCTTCCCCAGCTGATCAAAGAGCTGCCTGGCTTCCTTCCCTGTGCTGTGACCTGTTAGGGGGCTTATTCCTTCATCCACTTACTTCCCTGGTCCTTCTCGCATGAACAGAGAGCAACAATACCCGAAGTCCAAAGGTGCAAACAATTCGATGTTTATTGGGGTGAACTTCCAGCAAGCATGATTCCAGTTTCCTTCCTTAGTGTCCCCCTTCCCAGCTCTGACACCACAGAGCCTTACACCTGTGTCCCTGTTCCCATTCCTACCCTTAGCCAAACATGATTCCAACTTCCTTACTCCCATTCCCTGTTCCCATTTCCCCCTTTAGCAAAACATGATTCCAATTTTCTTACCCCCATTCCCATCTCCCTCCCACCCACACCCACTCACTTCCTCATTGACTACAGATTATATAGTAAAACTTGAGTTCTGCTTAGCTATACCTTAACCAATCATTTTCCTGAAATTTAACTAACCAATCCTAACATATTGTAACAGGATTATGTAACCAATTATATCCCACCACCTTAATTAGTTTACACCCAGCAAAATTAATTATACAGCAGACAGGAACAATCACAGAACCAAAGAGATTATACAGACAAACAATAGCAAAGTGGGAACTATAATGACAAAACAATACAGAAGTGAGGATTTCACATCCCAGCTATTGATAAGTGAGTTCTTGCCAGACAGGATGCTATCAGACTAAGTTTCCTTTTACATTTTCTAGGCACTTCCCTTTCTCTGGAGGTGATAGGAATACAATCCTGTCCTGATAGTGCCTAACAGCCCAAAAGCACCTTATTTCAATGTGACTAGTTTGGAATGTGGGGATGTGACTGTTCACTTCCCAGCTTATGGCTGCCTCTGCTGTTTAGCCAAAGGCCTGAGCCTGAGAACAGGGCCTCAGACTGTCACAGTAAGAGAAGGCCCTTACACCGGCAGACAGTGATTTTGATTCTTTCTTTTATACCTCTAGAACTAGCCAAGTGATAAGAAGACACCTAAATTCTTAAAGTACAGACCTTTGCAGACTGGCCTGAATATCTTTATCCTAACATGACCTCTCTTTACAGCGAAGCCGTGTGGCGTTCCCACAGCCCAGGCCTCATGCACTGGGAACGCCCAGCCAGGCCAGATGCTAAAGGGGCACAGAATGGGGACCCAACGGCCCAGGGAGGCCTGTGCACTAAAGCCTCCAAGGCAACAGAAGTCTCAGCTCAGCCTGTGACAGAAAATTGGTGATAAAATTCAGCAAAAGTGACAGCCAGAGACTGACTCAGTCCAAAACAAAGGTCTGTTATCAGCCAGTGGCTGGGTCAGATCCCAACTACCAAGCAAGAGAATGGAATCGGCAATGAATGAACCAAAATTAGTGCTGAAAATTAAGCCTAACTGGTGGACAAAGTAACGAAGGGATGGACTGTTCCGCCAGCACCTCCTTCTGTGGTCTGTATAACAGCCTTTGCGGGGGCAGCTGCCCAGGAAGCGGGGAGCCCGGGTTGGCCAGAAACTGGCCCGGGCTGGCCTGGTCTCTGTCAAAAGCGTTGAGGCACCAGCCCATTCCTGTGGAACGCTTCGAGTCCATCTAATCTGTGTCTGCGGGAGGAAAGTGTCAGTGGGACAGGTTTGGAGTGTGTGGTGGGCCAGGGATCTCCAGCAGAAAGTCTGCAGCGAGAGGTGGAGACATGGCTGGACTTTCCGCTCCCCTTTTGCATGTGTTTGACTTGCTCTGTCTTCGAGGAAACGGGATCAGAGGGTCAGGAACCACGACGCCGGCTCTTCCCTGGAAAGGACAGTTATTGCCATTGTTAACAGTATCTAAGAGACTGTCAAACGGGGGCTCCCTGCAAACACTCTCCAGCTACAGGAAAAGGGAAGAAGTACACTTCCCAGGCATGGACTGTGTTCATTGCTTTCCCTGTATGTTTAATAACAGGTTGAAGGATGATGGGGCTGTTGCCATGGGACTGAGCGGGCTGAGAGCTCTGTTCTTGGTCCACATTTCACCGTCCATTGTTTTGCAGCAGCAGGGTCTTGTGAAGCTCTTGACTCTCTGGTCCCGTTTATTCCAGCAGCTCACCCCATGCAGGTGCTGTGCGGGGCACAGTGCATGAGGGACGGGCGCTCAGGGGGCCGTGTGCATGCCCTTGCCACACAGACATGCTGGATTGCCAGGGCTGGGCCTGAGGGGATGCACAGGCCACGGACCCCGGTCGTGATGACGTGCCCTTGCCCCGGCTGGGCCTGCAGGCCTGGCTGACAGAACTGGACGGGAGCTTGTACCGGTAGCAGTTAGGAAGTGGGGCAGAGCTGGAGTAATTTGCTGAGCTGTGGCCTGGTGAATCATTCCCAGCCTGCCCTTGAGGCATTAGGAAGTCCAGGCTCTGCCTCTCCTCTTTCCGGCCTGGCTGGGGGGACAGGGCAGCGACTGGAGAAGGGGGTGGACAGGCTGCTTTTGGCGAAATGCAAACCGTGGGGCAGAGTGCTCCTTACACACTCTGTAGCTCTGCAGGGCACGGTCCCAGAGGGGTGAGCTCAGCCAGCCCGGGCGTCTGGCAAACAGCGAGCTGGGGAAGACAGCCCGGAGGTCAGGAAGGGATCTTACCGCCCCACAACATGGGCAAGGATCCTCAGCTGCCCAGACGCTGCCAGACGCGAATCTTGGGCCCTCCACTAAGTGTCCAGTGAATACAATGGCAACAAGTTTTACTCCACAGCACCTCTGCTGGGACTGGGGGAGCTGGGGGTCCCCCACAGCCAGCACTCCTGCCCTGTCCCCCACAGCACCCGTGCTGGGATTGAGGGAGCTGGGGGGGTCCCCAATAGCCAGCACTCCTGCCCTGTCCCCCACAGCACCCGTGCTGGGATTGAGGGAGCTGGGGGGGTCCCCCACAGCCGGTGCTCCTGCCCTGTTCCCCACAGCACCCCTGCTGGGACTGGCTCCCCCACAATCAGCACTCCTGCCCCATACCTCACAGCACCCCCTGCTGGGAGAGGAGAGGCTGGGATGGGGGGTGACCCTCCTGCTGGGGAGCAGCTCGGGCTGCAGTACCTGAGCTTCCCCACCGCCAGCCCCATTCCCAGGAGACGCGTCCAGGTGCCAGCGACTGGCTGACGGGGGCACTGGTGGCAGGAGACCGGGGGCTTGTTGGACACGGCGTCTCCGGGCAATGGCTGGCGTCTACTCGCCGCCCCCTGGGCAGTGCGGAGCAAGCAGCCGCTATTTCAGAGGGCGGGTGCCCCAGGTGGCAGGGAGCAGCCTGCGCTGGCGGGCACTGGCTGAGGGTGAAGGGGACCTAGGGGGGGTCAGGCAGGGAAAGTCGAATGGGAGGGGACCTGGGCCCTGAACCCAGGGTGAGGGGCTCTGTGGGTGAGGGGCCCTGGTTCCGCTCTGCATCCCCCGCCCGCCCTTCCCTTCAAGGGCGGGAAGTTTCCCAGCTCCCCGGCTACTCCCATGGGCCCCAACACTAGCGCCGGGATACCGCCCCCCTGGGGCTGAGTGTGACGCCCCCGCACACCCTCCAGGGACAAGGTAATGAGGGGTAACCGTGGGTGCTGCGGCCATGGTTACAGCATACGGGGGAGTCAAGAGGAAGTGGGGGGAGGGAGGACAACACGAGTAACTTGACAGATGGGGATCTGAAAGCACTTCCCAGACATGCACTAAGCCTCACACCCTGGGGAGGGAGCAAAGTATCATCCCTGCAGGAGAAACTGAGGCACAGAGCAGGGCAGTGACTCGGCTGAGGTCACCCAGTGAGGCACTAGCTGCACCCCCCGCATCCTCCCAATTCCTGCCCCCTCCTGCCCTGCTCCTTCCCATTCCCAAAACCCCTCTGCCACTGCTACTGCCCCCTGCTGGCTGGAACCTGAATGGCTCAGCTGTGTGTCATAGGCCCAACACTGTTAGCAGTGATTCTCCCTTCCATCCCTGTTTTTGTATACAGGGACTCTGGGTTCTGGCCCCAGCATGGCTGTGGGGTTCTGGGTGCGCAACAGCGTGACTGTGCCTTCATCCCAGCACCGAGGGCTGTCACAGCTCAGTTTAGGAACGTCTGCGCAGCGCCCGGGGTGGAAGGGGCGTCGGAAGCTTTTGTGGGCGTAAGCTGCCATCTGATTATCAGCCTGGCTGCCAGCCTGGCTTTGGCGTGTGCTGGCATGTGCCATGTGTGTTCGTGCACGGCTGTGGGCGACGGGAGGAAGGAATATAAAGATGATCTCAGAGCCGGCAGTGGTGCAGAGGCAGCTTTGCCATGCTTGGATTTCCTTGAAGGCGGAAAACACCTGCTGACCGGTCGCCGGGGAAACCGTCACGAGGAACAGAGTCCGGAGTCACTGTGGCTAGGAACGAGCAGCCCTTGGTGCGCCAGGGCCTCTCAGCGTCGACATCAGCGCAGGCTTCCTGCGGGCAAGTCCCCCGGGCCAGCCCAGTCCCAGCCAGCGCCGGACTCTGAGCTTTGAACTCGCCCTCTGCCGAGTTGCAGACGGACAGACAGGAGCGCGGCCAGGGGATGAGGGAAGCGTGTCCGATGGAGCCCCAGCTCAATGGAGCGGACAATGCCCTGGGCGAGGCGCGGGAGCCGTAAGTGGATTTCTCCTTCCAGGCGTTTAGGAGCGGGCTGTCCCTGGGGCCCTAGGGCTGGCCCCAGCCCTTCCATCAGCCTGCCCCTGAGGGACCCCCCCACCCCCGTGCCCTGAGGAGCAGCCTTCGGGAGGGGGCCTGCAGTGTCTCTCGGTGCCCAGCCACCCACATGCAGGCACTGCTAGCGTATGGGCACATGGCAGCAGGGCTTAATTTGTAATGAAAGACACGCCGGGGCTCAAGCAGTTTTTTTATTTTCATAACTGATGCGGCAAGCCCAGAGGTGTCGGGGCTTTGAACTGCCGGGCCCAGAGGTGCCAGGGCTCTGAATGGCCAAGCCCAGAGGTATCAGGGACCAGCCCTGCCAAGCCCAGAGGTGCCAGGGCTCTGAACTGCCAGGCCCAGAGGTGCCAGGGCTCTGAACTGCCAACCAGAGTTCCGGGGCTCAGCCCTGGCATGAATTAAACACTACGCAGCAGAGGCATTGGGACAGCGTTTGCAGTGGGGGAGAACACACCTGTAACCCCTGTGTGAGACGTTCGGATGCTGTCACCCCTAGTTCCAGTGCCCCTGCACGCGCATGTAGGGAGAGAGATCTTGGTCCAGTCTGTCCTCTCCAGGCTAAACTAACCCAGACTCCCTGGGGATTCCTCTGGGGGTGTGTCCAGGGGTGTATTGGGTTTGATTCCTCTGTGTGCTGTGACAGAGCCAGGCCAGATGGTGACAGGAGAGTGAAGGCAGATATATTAGTCCCAGATTAAGCAGGTGCATTTTCCCTGGGTAAAGTAACGGGCAGTTCCAGAACAAGAAGGAACTTGCAATTCAGGCAGGCAGCGTAATTAGGACACCTGGAGCCAGTTAAGAAGCTGCTAGACTCAATTAGGGCAGGCTGGCTAATCAGGGCACCTGAGTTTAAAAAGAGCTCACTTCAGTTTGTGGTGTGTGTGAGAGGAGCTGGGAGCAAGAGGCATCAGGAGCTGAGAGTGAGAATGTGGACTGTTCAAGGACTGAGGTGCACATGCATTATCAGACACCAGGAGGAAGGTCCTGTGGTGAGGACAAAGAAGGTGTTGGGAGGAGGCCATGGGGAAGTAGCCCAGGGAGTTGCAGCTGTCACACAGCTGTTCCAGGAGGCACTCCACAGCTGCAATCCACAGGGCCCTGGGCTGGAACCCGGAGTAGAGGGCGAGCCCGGGCTCCCCCCAGACCTTCCAATGTAGGAGGAGTTGACCTGGACTGTGGGTCCCACCAGAGGGAAAGGTCTCTGGGCTGTTTCCTGACCCACATCATGGATCAGCGGAGACTGTGGGGATTGTTCTCCCTTTCCCCACGCTGGCCAGTGATGTTAGCTGAGTGAACGGCAGGTTTGAGCCACTAGCAAAAGTGGCCAAACTGAGGGCTGCCGTGAACCTCTGAGGCGAGCAAATCTGCCAATAAGCACAGGACCCACCAGGGCAGAGTAGGAACTCTGTCACCGTACATGTCCTGGGTTCAGTTCCTGTCTTGGCTAGAGTCCCAATGTAACCTTGAGTAAATCTGTTACCAGCTCCGTGCCTGAGTTTCCTCCCCTGGGGGTGGCTGCAAGGCTAGGCCCCCACCTGGGAAGGCTGGGCCATGGAACCTGCTAAAGGCTATAAAGCTCTTCAGAGCCCCTGGGCCGGCAGGGCTGGGGTGTGTTCCTGGAGAGTTTGTCTTGCTCTCGGTGTCTGCAGCGTGGGCCTGCAGCAGACTTGATCCAGGGGCCGGTGGCTGTGGCCGCTTGGTTCTGCGGCAGGTGTGGGCGTCCCAGGAGCTGTGGGTGTTGGGGTGGAGGTAGGGAGGAAGTGGGGTGTGTGGTTTGGGGGGCAGGGTGTGAGTGGGGCTGTGGTTTGTGGGAACGGCGGTGGGAGGGGGTGTTTGAGGGAGGTGGAGTGTACAGGGGAAGGAGTTTGTGCCCTGGGCTATGCATGTCCCCCACCCGGTGTCTGAGCGCTGCCCCACTCTGTGGGCTGGGGCAGCTCAGCTGTAACACGCACAGCTCTCTCCTCCCCAGACATTCAGCAGTGCTGGCCTGCCCTGTCTGCTGTGGGGTGCTATGACCCCCCCCGCCTCTCCACTGGCATCACCCCATTGTGCCGGGGGTGCCTGTGCAGCGGCCAGAGCCAGGAGGGGAGGGCACCAGTCACAGCCAGTCACTCCCCTCCGGCAGCCTGGGCTGGGCTTTGCTGTGAGCCCAGCACTTGCCAGCATCACAGGGCCTGACCTGGAGTAGGGACCCTGGTGGCCTGGACGTGCCTGCTCGGCCCTGGGCGTCTCCACAGGGCACAGAGCATGACCTTGTGGGTGAGGCATGAGACCTGGGCTCTGTTCCCAGCCCTGCTACATGCTCCTGGGATGACCCTGAGTAAGTGATGCCCCCACCCCGTGCCTCAGTTTCCCCATCTGTAAAGGAGGGAGAACGATATCTCCACCCCTGGGCATGCTGTAGGGCTTCAGTCACTGACTCGTATCAGGGGCCTGCTGCTGGAAGTGTGTGTGTGCAGGCAAAGGGAAATCACTGCACTTACATAGCCCTGTGCTATTTGCAATGGGGCAGGAGTATAATCTCCCCTGTATCACAGCTGGGAAAACTGAGGCATGGAAAGGGGTGTGACTTGCCCAAGGTCACCCACTGAGTCTGCAACGGAGCTGGGAATAGAACCCAGGAGTCCTGGCCCCACTCCCTTGCTCTAGGCACTAGACTGTAGAGTTTGGGTTCACACAACGAAAAGCACTACATGTAAGGACTCCCTTGCTGGGCCTTCCCGCTTTCGACCACTTTTCCCCCGGACAAGGAAACAGCGGTCAGGTAACCATCGGAAAGGCCAGGCAGATTCAGGCTGGGAGCCATCTAGCCTAGCACCCTGCCTTGGGCGGTGGCCAGCATCCCCCAAGACCAGCAAAGCTCCCTATCTCCAGGAAAAAAACTGGCCAAGCCTGCCATGGCAGAGGGTCGATCATTTGTCCGCAGCGGGGTCTGTGCATGCTCTTGCTGATCAGCAAAACACCCAGCAGCAGCTTGACAACTCAGCAACCCTGGGGTCAGACACCCTCTTCCTCCCTCCGCTGGGGGAGGGGTTTCTCCTCCTCTCCCCTGTCCACGGGTGGGTGCAGTTACCCGGGCGGGGTATCCAGGCCCTCAGAACATGCAGATGGGCCCTGTGCTGAGCTCACTCCCAGCAGGAACATGCGTTTCTGGAGCCTTTCCAGCTAATCATCATCTCGGAGGGGCCAGAGAGCTTGGGAGCAAGGTGCAAACCATCATAAAAGCTCAAGGCTGGGGAAAGAGGAAACAACCTTGTAGCAGACGTGAGTAACCCCGTGGAGGGGCAGCTTGTTTTTTCTTTTCCCTGTAACGCTGGGAGAAGTCGGACGTTTTGTTGGGTGTGAGAGGGGCAGGTGGATTCCGAATCCCGACTCGGCCCCAGCCCTGCGCTGTCCTTTCACCTCCCAGCCCCACCGTCATGGTAGGTTCCTGCCCTGCCACTGTGATGAACCTGAGTCCACAGACACGATCCTCCCTACACACAGCAGAGGGGAGGGGACCCTCCTCCCTGCCCCACACAAGCTGAAGAACTAGCTACTATGTGTAGCAGGGCCCAGCCACTAGAAAGCAGCAGCCACAAAGCACTAGAAGGGGGCTCTGTCAGGGTGCAGTAGCTCAAAGGAATACTGTGGTCCAGTGGAGAGTGCTGGGCTAGAGAACCCCTGGCCGGTCTGGGTGCTTCCCCCAAAGTCCCCCTGGCCTACAGGGTGGCTTTAAGCAAGCCATTTGGCCTCTTTGTGCCTCAGTTTCCCTGCTTGTACAATGGAGATAATGATCCTGACCTCCCTTGTGAAGCACATACAGATCGACTGGGGTCAGTAATATTCATCCATCCTGAATTCACAGCTGTGGGCTGGGTTAGTGAATCGTTCAGTGGAAGCCAGCCAAACCCCAAGTAATAAGAGATTCTATCTCGGTGTCTCTCTCGTCCTGTAGCAGCAAGGCATTGCACGCCATTATTCTTCATTATTTAACATTAATGTTGCAGCAACATCTAAAAGCCACAGCCAGGCTTTTGTGCTGGGTGCTTTACAAACATATAACTAAGGGCAGTCATGTTTCATGGGTTGCATAATACCAGGAGAAGACTCCATGCCTGTAAAACTAAAGGGGCTCTTTATTAGGAGGACTATGTATAGAGGAGTTGGAGCTGCAGCAGACATTCCAGCCATGTGCACCCAGACTGACTCTGGGGTGCCTTCCCACAAACTCTTCCCTCCTGCAGCCTGTGTTCCTCCCTCCAAGTTCCATGCCAGTTGCTACAAGCCCCTACCCCAAAAATCACACTCCAAAAAACAAGAGGCTATAGGTGGGTGAGATGAGGAAGATGGGGCAATAAATAAATGAAAGGGGATAATTCCTAGCCAGTCAGTAGAGAGATCCCAGCTCTCCTTTGCATAACCATTCTCACACTGAACTTCCCCCTCCACATTACCGAGGAGGGCTGTGCAGGACAAGGTGGTGGCTTTGTGGCATCTGCCCAGGAGTGGTTCCTGAGCCCGCTCGCAGGGGAAGCATGAAGGTGGGTTGGCAATAGGTGGCTCTGTAGGGCAGGGGTATGCTGGGGAGGGCTTTCTGTGTACAGACAAGGAGCGTGTGTGCAATGCAGCACCTCACACACCAGCTGCTTTAAGGCTCTTTGCCATCCCAGCCCACCCCAGGGATCACATCCCTGAGCTGTGCAGCCGTGGATCCGGCCTGCACTCTCCTGGGGACAGCAACCTCACCTGCCCAAGTCTCCCACCAGTGTCTCCCTGCCTGTCCCCACCCATGCATGGCAAAGCCTCCCCAGCAAAACACATAGAGCTGCCCCAATCCCTCCTGAAGCCTTCCAGCGCTGCCAGTAATGCCCTCCTGCCAGGGACACGCTGGGCCTTCTGCTTTGCTGCTTAACTCTGTCTGCCTGCTGGTGACCTCACCCTCCTGTGGCCTGTCTGACCTGTAGATTGCAAGCCCCCAGGGGCTGGGACCTCAAAGGTATTTAGGCACCTAATTGCCACTGATTCCAATAGGAATTAGGCATCTCAATACCTTTGAGGACCTGGGCTTGTCTGCTTTGTTACATCTGAACAGCACCTGGCGCAGTGGGACCTGGTCCTTGGCTGGGGCCAACAATAAATAACAATGGCACAAACTGGCCAGCATGGGCCCAAACCATTATTTCCAGCTCCTCCTGATCCCATTCGAGCTCTGCTGGAAGCCAGGAGATAAGCGTGAGGCCCGGAGCAGTACAGGTTGTTCTCCTCTCTTCTCAACAAGCTAAGATTTAAAAACCCAAAGCCCACATCCGCCATGCGACCCACTCATACCACCAGAAATAGAAACTCCCCAGGGAAGGCAGGAGTCCAAATATACCGCTCATGTCAGGAAAGGGACGTGATGCACAGAGAATGGGCCTGAATTCATCTCCTACCCAGCAGATGCTGCAAAAGCAAAAGGCATTCTGAGTGCAAATGAGCTGTCATTTCTGACTTGACGTGTGTAAAATACAAGGGGTATATTTAGCTGCTTGCCAGACATTGTTCCTGCTGGGACATCTAGCTGTGGTGACTATAGAAACAGCTCTGAATAAGCTCTATATGGCCACAGCTTTGCTACCATGTATAGGCTCTTCCCACACTGAAATGTGGCCATCTCTGGGGTAGAACAGCGCAGTGCAGCTGGAATTTCAGCCATGGCTGCTTCTCCTGCATGAAGGATTTAACCTCGCTGCCCTGGTGCCTTCTCCACCAGCCCCACGCTACGGTCTCTCGGACAGTGGCACTGATTTCCCCTTCCTCTGGGTGCTGCGCTGTATACCTCAGACGCTGAAAGCACTAATCATCCGTGGCACAGTTGGCCATCCCCATCTCTGGCCAATGCCTGAGGTGCAAACAAGTAACTGGCACAGCCCAGTGTCTTTTCCCAGCCCCTTCTGCCTGCCACCAGGGGTAGATACAGCTTCTACGTGTGCATGAGAAATTGGAAAGGGCTCCGGCCCCACCGCCTTCTAGAACATAGTGTGTACAAACCACCCTCCGCCGACTGGAAAGCTTGGTGTATGGGTCTGCTTCTTTCACTCCATTGGCTCATCTGCCTGCGCGCGGACTAATGGCTCCCTCAGAGTCTGGCGCATGGCGGCAGAATCTTCACTGCCCTGCTCAGAGGAAGAGCTGTCCTCTGATAAGTGTCTCTGAGGCTACCTTCTCCCAGGGAGCCTGTGCACTGGATGGCGTCTAATCAGTTACACCAGTGTGAATCCAGAGTCACTTCAGTGGAGTGACTCCGAATTTATGCCTGTGTCAATGAGCAGAATCTGGCCTGCCGGTTTGGTTAGGGGTGTGTGAATTTTATCAGTATAGCCAATCGTGTGGACACAGTTATACCAGAATAAAGGTTTCTGTTACTGGTATAGCTGATTTCCCTTCCCTTATATTGGTGTAACTGTGTCCACATTAGGGTGTTTTACCACCAATACAGAGCCAGAGAGCCCACGTTTGTGTGCAAACAAGGCTAAGGCAGGTTATGATGGGCCAGAGTCGGCGTTCGGCTAGTGGGATCCTGTAGGGAAAGCCCTGTGCTCCCCTGCCCACCTGGGAACTGTCCAGCTCCCTGTAGGGTTGCCAACCCTTTAGGATGTCTAGGAGTCTCCAGGAATTAAAGATTAATCTTTAATCAAAGATGATGTCACGTGATGACACCTCCAGGGATACGTCCAAGCGAAACCGGCAACCCTGCGCCCTGGGAGAGCAACACCCGCTCTGCTGGCGGCACCCTGGGAAATGCCACCCCCTCAGCCCCGAGCCCCTCCCACCAGCGCTGTGGGGCGTGGAGTTGGGAAACAGCGAGGCCTTTCTTTGCTGTGTTGGGGCCGGTCCAAACTTTCCCATCACAACCGTGGTTCGACCGGCGCGTGGGGGTTCGACTCGGATTCTCTGCGTGACAAGAGTTCCCCGAACCCCGAAATGCTGCCATGGTGCCTCGGTCGCTATTATCCTCTCTGGGCTGGGCTCCCCAACTGGACTTCATCTCCCAGGATGCCCTGCCTCCCTGCTCAAGAGAAAATGACATTTATTTTCATTTCCACCAACATTTTCTGAGGGAAACCCCCCTGTTTCTCAGCAGCTCGGCTGGGCCCGGCCCCGTTACACCCAGGAGACGTGTATGCTCTGCTTGTGGCTCTTGCTTGTTGAGATTTTTCCCTCGGTAGAGGGGATAAAGCCACCACAGACAGAGAGTGCATGTTTTGCTGGGAAAACACAGTACTCCTGTAGAATCAATAATGCTTCGCTATCCTTTGCCATCTGTAAGGCTCTCGAACTGCTCTTTGAAGACGGTAATGAGTTAAGGGTCAGGGAGGGAATCCCCATCCCCTTTCCATCAGGAAGAAAACCGAGGGGCAGGAAAGGGAAGTGAAATTAGGTAATGCAGTGAGGCAGTGGCAAAGAACCCAGGAGTCCCAAGCCCCTTTCCCCCATGTCCAGAGCTGTCAATCCAGCATGACTGAGCTGTTGATAAATCGGAGAGGGTTCAGAGAAGAGCCACTGGAGTGATTAAAAGATTAGAATATCTTCCACTGTTGTAAGCTGTGTCGGTCCCAGGATATTAAAGGTAAGAGCTTTTCTTGGACCAGTATATGGCTTATTACAACAACCCCTGCTCCTTTTTGTCCTGTGGTTACAGGGGTTGTCATAAATATAAAGGGAAGGGTAAACACCTTTAAATCCCTCCTGGCCAGAGGAAAAACACTTTCACCTGTAAAGGGTTAAGAAGCTAGGATAACCTCGCTGGCACCTGACCACAATGACTAATGAGGAGACAAGATACTTTCAAAGCTGGGGGGAACAAAGGGTTCTCTCGGTCTGTGTGATGCTTTTGCCGGGACCAGAGCAGGAATGCAGGTCAGAACTCCAGTAAAGGGCTAATAAGCAGTCTAGTTAGATATGTGTTAGATTCTGTTTTGTTTAAATGGCTGATAAAATAAGCTGTGCTGAATGGAATGGATATTCCTGTTTTTGTGTCTTTTTGTAACTTAAGGTTTTGCCTAGAGGGATTCTCTGTTTTGAATCTGATTACCCTGTAAGGTTTTTACCATCCTGATTTTACAGAGGTGATTGTTTTACTTCAATTAAAATTCTTCTTTTAAGAACCTGATTGCTTTTTCATTGTTCTTAAGATCCAATGGTTTGGGTCTGTGTTCACCTATGCAAATTGGTGAGGATTTTTATCAAGCCTTCCCCAGGAAAGGGGGTGTAGGGCTTGGGGGGGATATTTTCGGGGGGAGATGTTTCCAAGTGGGCACTTCCCCTATTCTTTGTGTAACACTTTGGTGGTGGTGGCAGCATTTAACCTAAGCTGATAAGAATAAGCTTAGGGGGTCTTTCATGCAGGTCCCCACATCTGTACCCTAGAGTTCAGAGTGGGGAAGGAACCTTGACAGGGGTGTTTACAGGCCACTGCACCTTGAGCGGGCCCTTGAGATATGTTAACTCCTTATGCTAAACAATCTGTATTTAGCTGGTCCAGTACATTTCCCAGCCCTGAAGAAGAGCTCTGTGTAAGACTGAAAGCTTGTCTCTCTCGCCAACAAAAGATATTACTTCACCCACCTTGTCTCTCTAAAGGACTGGAAAACCTGCCTTTCCAAGGAGCTCTATCTATTTAGCTTAACAAAGAGAAGGTTAAGGGGTGACTTGTTTACAGTCTGGGGAACAAATATTTGATAATGGAGGCTTCAGTCTAGCAGGGAAAGGGCTAACGTGGTCCAATGGTTGGAAGTTGAAGCTAGACAAATTCAGACTGGAGAGAAGGCATACATTTTTGACAATGAGGGTAATTAACCACTGGCACAATTGACCGAAGGTTGTGGTGGAGTCTCCATCCCTGGCCATTTTTAAATCACGCTCAGATGTTTTTCTAAGTGATCTGCTCTAGGAAATATGTTGAGGAAGTTCTCTGGCCCCTGTCATGGGGAAGATCAGGCTAGAGGATCACAGTGGTGTCTTTTGGCTCTGGAATCTCTGGATTTGTCAATAATCTGCCCAGGAGATGGAGCTGAGACCTTGCAGGGTGAAGCTTTATCAAGTGAAGGGTCTCGGGGGCACAACCCAGGAATCACCAGGTAAAGAATTTTTTCAACTAAAGAATTTTTCATTGAATGCCCTTTTGGGGACCATTTCCCCCAAAATAGGTGTTTTTCAAAATAGCACCACAGAATAAATATTTCCTACTGATTTTTTGATCAGCAGCGTTACCTGTGGTTCCATTTTCTGAAATGAGACATTTTAAAACGTTGTTTTTTAAGTTTCAAAATAAAATTTGTGTTTCGGGGGGAGAGGGAAAAAAACCAAACCCTCCTGCCCTAAAATAACGCCAAAACCCTTTTAAAAAAAATAAATTTATTTTGAAAATAGATCGGTGATGAAAAATGTTGATAAAAATGTCTGATCATTCTGGAAAAACAACAACATTCTTTGGAAATATTGTGCAGGTAAATCAGAGCTGCCAAGTCCAGGTGTTCAGAAATCATGAGACTGGCTTAAAAATTGCCTTTTAAAGAAACAGGGTTTTGCCTTGCTTTCGGGCCATTAGGGGTTACTTTTCCAGTGTTTGCCTTGCTTTCGGGCCATTAGGGGTTACCTTTCCAGTGTTTCTCTGCAACCACAAGGGCTAGAAATGACTGTTCTTTTTTTATTACAAGCTGTGATTCTCTCATATTCACATGACTCCAGGGGCTGGGGCTTTAACCAAAACAACAGTTATGGCCAGACTTGCAGGACTGGGATACTGCATCCCCATGCTGTAGCCCTGGGCTGGGGAGTGTTTGATTCAGTGGTTACACACTAAAGGCACACCTGGTCTCTGCTTTCAGAGCAGGATCTGCCCAAGCAGATCCTGGGAAGTGAGGTCAACACTCAAGTGAGAGGAATGTGCTGGTGGGCAAAGGGCCATGTGCTTGCAGCAAGTGTGTTCATTCTCTGGGCCCGGCCCTTTAAGGAAATGGTATTTGGAGCAACGCCTCCCTACAAACTCGACTGGGCTGGTCCCAACAAGCTGGGCCAGCTGAATACAAGGCATCCCTTCCCATTCCCAGCCAGCTGGGAGGAGGCTGAGGGGCAGGAGCATCAGAGCCAGGAGAGGAGTGTGTGAGGCAGACAGGCTGGAGTGCAGCAGGGATCCGGAGCCCAGCAGAGCGAGTGGGAACCCATGGGAGCCGGGGTGGGACGCGACCCCTCAGCTGTCTCAGTGATGAGGTAAAGGGTGCGCGTTGGCTCCGGTGGGCTCTGATCTCAGCCAGGGTGGGGGTGCTTTGGCCCCCATGCAGAGGTGGGAAGGGGCCCCAAGGTACAGCTCTGAGCACCCCCACTCTGCAGCTCAGGCTCGTCTCCTGTTCTCTCCCCCTCCCCCCTTCATGCTGCCAACTCCCACTCAGCAACAGAGACTCAAAATCCCTTTGCTCTCAGTAGAGCGTCTCTCGTGTGCCGTGGGATTGCACTGAGAGCTTGTTAGTGATGGGGGAAGCTGAGCCATATGGCAAACCAGTGTCATGGCTGAGACTCGAACGCAGGAGTCCTCTCCCCCACGCCACTCTGTTTACTCTAACCACTAGGTAACTTTTCCTCCCAGAGCTGGCAATCTAGGGATTCCGTCCCCAAGTCCGCTCTCTAATTAACAGGCTGCCCTGCCAGACCTAGGAACAGAACCCAGGAGTCCTGGCTCGCCATCCTCTGCTCTTACCCATAAAATCCCACGCTGTCCAAAGAGGCCTTCGCTAACATAGAGCTATAAATACTCCGGCAGGGCCTTTGATTGTGGTGAGGAGGAGAGGTCAGGCTGGGATGGGTAATGGGCAGCTCTTTTTTTTTTTTCATGTTTGACGACACCGGGATGTTTCTATCAGGCCCCGGATGGGTGTTTGGACAGAGCTGTGGACTGATTGAGCTGCGGCTGGTTGGCATGTGCTCAGGGTACCGTTATGCCTTCGCGATGCCTGCGTGTGGGGTGTAGTGTTACCCTAGAGGGGAGGATGCCCGTGGAAACCAGCACAGTCATTTTAAAGAGCTCAGGGCTTTTGACTGTGGGATTCCCCCCAAGGGTTTTATCACCAGCAGGCACCCCTGCGAGGCTGGGCCGGGTTAGTCTCTCCATTGTCCAGAGGGGGACGTGAGGCACAGACAGGCTAAGTGACATGCCCGGGGGCACACAGGAAGCTTGTGGCAGAGCTGGGAACTGAACTCAGATTTTAAAGTCTCAGGCTCACACCCTAGCCACTGGACTTAACTTCCCCATGGTCCCCATGTCGCCTCCCTATTCCCACTGCATGCTGGCACCAACAGGAGGCCTGGAAACCCCGAGTTCCCAGGCAGTGTCGCAGGGCTCAGCGCAGCAGCAGGAATGGTCAGGGTTGAACAGCCAGAGGTTCCCTCATCTCAATGGGCCTGATCCTGGGAGATGCTGATCACCCCCAAGCCCCCACTGACACAGGATGCTGTGCACCCCACATGGGCCCGAGCTTGGGGAGATTGAGGGGATGAAGAGCTCAAACAGAAAAGACATGCTTATTCAGTGCTGCAGGAAACCCAGCTCTCTCCTCCTCCCCTTCCCCCCCCCCCCCGGCAGCACAGGACACCCCATTACCCAGGCTCCAGGCCTCATGCTGTTCAGGGTTTTGTGGGGGTGGGGGGAAGAGGTTAATCTGATGTTAAAGGCAAACGAGGCTGTCACAGGGCGAGAGGCAGTGGGAAGGGAACAATTCCACAATGCAGTCTTCTCCCTGATTTAACCCGCTCTGAACACAACCGCCCAAGGGGTAAACTCCTGTCTGGGTCATTTGTTTCTGTAAGAGGGAGCTGGGAGGGGTGACAGGTCCGGCCACTGGGCTGGAGGCCAGGAATTGCTCAGATCCCCTGCCCAGCTGTGTGTATATGGGGGAGAACAGCCCTTACTGCATGGAAAGGGTTGTGAGAATGAATTGATTGGTGTTTGCAAACCTCATTGGAAGGTAAAGGCAGGTTGGGCCACCCTTGCAGTCCTTGCACAGGCAAAATTCCCTTTGACTTCAAGGGGAGATCACGCCCAGTATCCTGTCTCCGACAGTGACCAGTTCCAGCTGCTTTAGAGGAAGTTGCAAGAATCCCTGCAGTGATGAGATAACATTCCCCCAGGGGAAGTTCCCTCCTGACCCCCATGATTCAAGGTCAGGTCATGCCATGCCCTGAAACATGAGTGTTTATCTCCCTTTTGCCTTAGGAAGCAAAAATCAAAGGCTCCATAATCTACTGAGAACCCTCCAGTTCCATTGCTCTGGGTCAGGGCTTTAGAATCTGCCCCGATGCTGTTACCATCTGACATGCAGGGTATTACACAAACTGAAACTGATCTTGCACTGTATCAACATAGTATTATTAACTTCCAGCTAATTACAGCCAAACCTTGTTAATTCCCCTAAGGCAGGGGTGGCCAACCTGAGCCTGAGAAGGAGCCCGAATTTACCAATGGACATTGCCAAAGGGCCACAGGAATATGTCAGCAGCCCCCCATCAGTTCTCCCACCCCGCTCCCAGCGCCTCCCAGCCACCGGCAGCCCTGCGGATCAGCGCCTCCCCACACCTCCCAATCAGCTGTTTTGTGGCGTGCAGGAGGCTCTGGGGGGGAAGGAGCGAGGGCACGGCAGGCTCAGGGGAGGGGTGGGGAAGGGGTGGAGTAGGGACAGGGCCTGTGGCAGAGCCAGGGGTTGAGCAGTGAGCCCCCCTCCGGCACATGGGAAAGTTGGCACCTGTCACTCTAGCCCTGGAGTCGGTGCCTAGACAAGGAGCCGCATATGGCTCCGAAGCCACAGGTTGGCCACCCCTGCCCTAATGGGAGGGATGCTTGTTGCGAGTGATTACATGTTGTGAGTTAGCAAGTAAATGAATAAACTCCTTTAAAAAAAATAATGAAAAGGCAGAAAAATGGACTTTATGCTTTTGTTCCGCCAGTTGGCGGTTTGATCACCGCTGACGCTAATTGGTGCTGTGCTGGGAGGATGGAATCTGCCGATGCAGCGTGGTTGGGCTGATAGGGAACTGGAGTCAGCGACAGGACACCTGGGTTCTACTCCTAGCTCTGCCATTGGCCTGCTGGGTGACCTTGGACAGGTCACCACCCCTCCCTGTGCCTCAGTTTTCCCATCTGTAAAATGGGGGTAATGATACTGCTCTCCTATGCAAAGCGCTTTCGGGATCTGCTGATGGGACGTGCTCTGTGAGATCTCACAGCAGCCTCCCTCTGCGGAGAAGCAGGAGACGGAGAAGCTCATACAGCTCGTGTGCAGATTGTGGAGGGCCGAGACCCGGCTGGGCCCAGCTGAGTGGCAGCAGCACTGGGATTGGGGCCGTTTGACGCTGCCCTCTCTTGGCTGTGGGATTGTCACGCAGCTTGTTGGCCCTTTCGCTCTGTTCCCCTCCCCCCTTTGCTGTGTCTGTGAATCTGGCTTTTCAGCAGGGGTGTGCCTCACTCCACCCTGCCCCCGGGGCCATCTGATCGGCCTGTCTGAGACCAAGGGAGGGTGGAGGACATCAGAAACGGGGCCAGGTCGTGTTCTGCACCTGGCCACGGAAAGGCCTTGCCACGGTCCATGGCAGGGAGGGTATGAGTCCTAGAGGAGGTGCAGCTGGGGACTGGAGAGCAGGGACCCACCCCCCCTGCTGCAGCCCCCCAGGCTGGCTGTGCTGTGAAGAGAGCCCTGCCCCCTCCCCATTAAGATCAGCCACAGAAACTCTTCCCCAGGGACTCAGCTGTAAAGACCCCCCAGACCCGAGGGGGGTGGGGCAGAGAGGGCAGGGAGCCAGTGGGCATCACTCAGCTGCCCCACGTGTCTCTGGAGTTTCTCCATGGCCTGGGGTAGCACCACCATTACCTATGGGAGAAAACAGCCTGCACGTCGGAGTGGGGCTGGCTGGGGAGGGCGGGGACGGCCATCGGCCAGGAAGGAATTGCACCCGTGTCACAGCAGGGACCCTGGGAGTGATGGCAGGGGGTGGGCCGTCTGCACTGACGGTAGCTGCCAGCTGGGGCACTAGGTGAGCAGGAAAATGGAATCCCCCCCCCCTCCATCTTGGGGAGATGAGGGGGCAGGAATGAGGCTCCTTGCTGGGGGCGCCTGTCACCCCACCCTGCTCTCTGCCCTCCCCAGCGGCCTGGCTGACCCTGCCGCCAGCTCCGGGAAACTCAAGAAGAGCAAGAAGAAGATGCTGGAGCTGAAGAAGTGGCAGAGCCTGGAGGAGACGGGGAGCGATGCCCCCCAGCCAAGGAAGCACCCCAGCCTCTCTAGGTGAGGCCCTGCCGCTCCCGCAGGGACCTTCCCCAAGAACAAGGCCCCACCACCCCCGAAATTCCCTTCTCAGACTCCGCACACGTGGGCCCAGGCGAGTTACACTGCCCTGGAAAGCCGCACAGTCACAGTGCACCCCCCTCTCCCACCCTGACCATCCTCAGTGCCTCCCTGTGCTGCTAGGGTTGCCAACTTTCTAATCACACAAAACCGAACACCCTAACCCTGCCCCTTCCCCGAGGCCCCGCCCCTTCCCCGGTGCCCCTCCCGGCCAATGGGAGTGCGGAGCTGGTGCTCTGGGCGACGGCAGCGCGCGGAGCCCTGTGGCCCCCCTGCCTAGGAGCTGGACCTCCTGCCCGCTTCCGGGGCACAGGGCAGAGCCAGGACAGGTAGGGACTAACCTGCCTTAGCCCCGCAGCACCGCCAACCGGTATTTTACTGGCCTGGTTGGTGGTGCTGACCGGAGCCGCCAGGGTCCCTTTTCGATTGGGTGTTCCAGTCTAAAACTGGACACCTGCTCACCCTGCGGCCTGCCTGCCTGCCCCCTGAGTCCAGCCCTGCCCTGTGAGGACTCCCCCCCCCCGCCCCCACCCTGCCCAGGGCTCTGCCTCTCTCACTTTTGGCCTCTGGTGCATTTCAGATCAAAGACCTATGACCTGTCTTTCTCCAAAGAGACCGAACAGGAGCCGGCTCTGAGCAGGCAGAGGGCCACCTCGTCCTCTGTAAGTCCCCCCGAAGCTGGCATGGGGCGCGGGGGGTGGGGATGGACTCTGGGGGTCGGGATCCCTGTGGGGTTGGGGGTTGGGATGGCAACCAGGGTTTAGGATGGATGCTGGGGGGGTGGAATATCAGGGGGGTTGGGATGGGTGCTGGGGGTGGGGTTGGGATACCTGCGGCAGGGGGGTTGGAATGGATTCTGGAGGGTTGGGATCTGTGTGGGGATGGGGATTGGGATTCATAGATTCATAGATATTTAGGTGAGAAGGGACCATTATGATCATCTAGTCTGACCTCCTGCACAACGCAGGCCACAGAATTTCACCCACCACTCCTGCGAAAAACCTCTCACCTATGTCTGAGCTATTGAAGTCCTCAAATCATGGTTTAAAGACTTCAAGGAGCAGAGAATCCTCCAGCAAGTGACCCGTGCCCCATGCTACAGAGGAAGGTGAAAAACCTCCAGGGCCTCTTCCAATCTGCCCTGGAAGAAAATTCCTTTCCTACCCCAAATATGGTGATCAGCTAAACCCTGAGCATGTGGGCAAGATTCACCAGCCAGATACTACAGAAAATTCTTTCCTGGGTAACTCAGATCCCACCCCATCTAATATCCCATCACAGGCCATTGGGCCTATTTACCATGAATATTTAATTACCAAAACCATGTTATCCCATCATACCATCTCCATAAACTTATCAAGTTTAATCTTAAAGCCAAATAGATCTTTTGCCCCCACTGCTTCCCTTGGAAGGCTATTCGAAAACTTCACTCCTCTGATGGTTAGAAACCTTCGTCTAATTTCAAGTCTAAACTTCCTGGTGGCCAGTTTATATCCATTTGTTCTTTTGTCCACATTGGTACTGAGCTTAAATAATTCCTCTCCCTCTCCGGTATTTATCCCTCTGATATATTTAGAGAGAGCAATCATATCTCCCCTCAACCTTCTTTTAGTTAGGCTAAACAAGCCAAGCTCCTTGAGTCTCCTTTCATAAGACAAGTTTTCCATTCCTCGGCTCATCCTAGTAGCCCTTCTCTGTACCTGTTCCAGTTTGAATTCATCCTTCTTAAACATGGGAGACCAGAACTGCACACAGTATTCCAGGTGAGGTCTCACCAGTGCCTTGTATAACGGTACTAAATCTTCCTTATCCCTACCGGAAACACCTCTCCTGATGCATCCCAAGACCACATTAGCTTTTTTCATGGACATATCACATTGGCGGCTCATAATCATCCTATGATCAACCAATACTCCAAGGTCCTTCTCCTCCTCCGTTACTTCTAATTGATGCGTCCCCAGCTTATAACTAAAATTCTTGTTATTAGTCCCTAAATGCATGACTTTACACTTCTCACTATTAAATTTCATCCTATTACTATTACTCCAGTTTACAAGGTCATCCAGATCCTCCTGTAGGATATCCCGGTCCTTCTCTAAATTGGCAATACCTCCCAGCTTTGTATCATCTGCAAACTTTATTAGCACACTCCCACTTTTTGTGCCGAGGTCAGTAATAAAAAGATTAAATAAGATTGGTCCCAAAACCGATCCTTGAGGAACTCCACTGGTAACCTCCCTCCAGCCTGACAGTTCACCTTTCAGTAGGACCCATTGTAGTCTCCCCTTTAACCAATTCCTTATCCACCTTTCAATGTTCATATTGATCCCCATCTTATCCAATTTAACTAATAATTCCCCATGTGGCACGGTATCAAACACCTTACTGAAATCTAGGTAAATTAGATCCTCTGCGTTTCCTTTGTCTAAAAAATCTGTTACTTTCTCAAAGAAGGAGATCAGGTTGGTTTGGCACGATCTACCTTTTGTAAAACCATGTTGTATTTTGTCCCATTTACCATTGACTTCAATGTCCTTAACTACCTTCTCCTTCAAAATTTTGTCCAAGACCTTGCATATTTCAGATGTCAAACTAACAGGCCTATAGTTACCTGGATCACATTTTTTCCCTTTCTTAAAAATAGGAACTATGTTAGCAATTCTCCAGTCATACGGTACAACCCCTGAGTTTACAGATTCATTAAAAATTCTTGCTAATGGGCTTGCAATTTCATGTGCCAATTCCTTTAATATTCTTGGATGAAGATTATCTGGGCCCCCCGATTTAGTCCCATTAAGCTGTTTGAGTTTCACTTCTACCTCAGATATGGTAATATCTACCTCCATATCCTCATTCCCATTTGTCATGCTACCTGTCACGGAGTCCCTGAGTGATGCTCTGGAACTGCTCCCTACGAAGCCAGGCAGGACTCTGGGGCAGTCTCCTGTCTGTGAGCAGACTGTCTTCAGGACACACAGCTTCCACCTTCCTGGGTCTGACCTCGGAGCATTCAGCATCCTCTCTGCCCCTCCATGCGCTTCCCACAGCGAGTCCGCCCAGGCGGGGTCCTGGGGAAGCCAGAGGGCCCTGCACCCCAACTCTGCAGTCAGATGTGACTCTCAGCCAGCCAGTAAAACAGAGATTTATTAGATGACAGGAACATGGTCTAAAACAGAGCTTGCAGGTGCAGAGAACAAGACCCCTCAGCTGGGTCCATTTTGGGGGCAGTGAGCCAGACAACCACGTCTGCACTTCACTCCATGTCTCCAGCCAGCCCCAAACTGAAACTCCCTCCAGCCCCTCCTCCTCTGGGCTTTGTCCCTTTCCGGGGCCAGGAGGTCACCTGATTCCCTTGTTCTCCAGCCCTTTAGCTCTCACCTTGCAGGGGGGAAGGGTCCAGGCCATCAGTAGCCAGAAAACAGGGTGTTGGCCATTCTCTGTGTCCAGACCCCTGCACACACCTGCCCTCTAGGGCTCTGCAATGATCATACACCCTTATCCCACCCCTTAGATACTTAAGAACTGCATGGGGAAACTGAGGCACCCCCACACTATTCAGAGGAAACATTAAGAACAGTCCCGCTTCGTCACACCTTGTCTCTTTGTCTCCTTGTCCCCCCTCCCACACACAAACCCACTCTCCTGCTGGTAATAGCTTATCTAAAGTGACCACTCTCCTTACAATAAGAAAAGGAGTACTTGTGGCACCTTAGAGACTAACCAATTTATTTGAGCATGAACTTTCGTGAGCTACAGCTCACTTCATCAGATGTTGAACATCTGATGAAGTGAGCTGTAGCTCACGAAAGTTCATGCTCAAATAAATTGGTTAGTCTCTAAGGTGCCACAAGTACTCCTTTTCTTTTGCAAATACAGACTAACACGGCTGTTCCTCTGAAACCTCTCCTTACAATGTGTATGATAATCAAGGTGGGCCATTTCCAGCACAAATCCAGGGTTTAACAAGAACGTGGGTGGGGGGGGGGGGGAACAAGGGGAAATAGGTTACCTTGCATAATGACTTAGCCACTCCCAGTCTCTATTCAAGCCTAAGTTAATTGTATCCAATTTGCAAATGAACGCCACTAGCCGTCACCTTCAGCTCCCAACTAAAACCCCTCCAACGCATTATTAAGGATCTACAACCTATCCTGAAGGATGACCCAACACTCTCACAAATCTTGGGAGACAGGCCAGTCCTTGCCTACAGACAGCCCCCCAACCTGAAGCAAATACTCACCAGCAACCACATACCACACAACAGAACCACTAACCCAGGAACCTATCCTTGCAACAAAGCCCGTTGCCAACTGTGCCCACATATCTATTCAGGGGACACCATCACAGGGCCTAATAACATCAGCCACACGATCAGAGGCTCGTTCACCTGCACATCCACCAATGTGATATATCATAGAATCATAGAATATAAGGGTTGGAAGGGACCCCAGAAGGTCATCTAGTCCAACCCCCTGCTCAAAGCAGGACCAATTCCCAGTTAAATCATCCCAGCCAGGGCTTTGTCAAGCCTGACCTTAAAAACCTCTAAGGAAGGAGATTCTACCACCTCCCTAGGTAACGCATTCCAGTGTTTCACCACCCTCATAGTGAAAAAGTTTTTCCTAATATCCAATCTAAACCTCCCCCACTGCAGCTTGAAATGCCATCATGTGCCAGCAATGCCCCTCTGCCATGTACATTGGTCAAACTGGACAGTCTCTACGTAAAAGAGTAAATGGACACAAATCAGATGTCAAGAATTATAACATTCATAAACCAGTCGGAGAACACTTCAATCTCTCTGGTCACGCGATTACAGACATGAAAGTTGCTATATTACAACAAAAAAACTTCAAATCCAGACTCCAGCGAGAAACTGTTGAATTGGAATTCATTTGCAAATTGGATACAATTAACTTAAGCTTGAATAGAGACTGGGAGTGGCTAAGTCATTATGCAAGGTAACCTATTTCCCCTTGTTTTTTCCTACCCCCCCCCCAGACGTTCTTGTTAAACCCTGGATTTGTGCTGGAAATGGCCCACCTTGATTATCATACACATTGTAAGGAGAGTGGTCACTTTAGATAAGCTATTACCAGCAGGATAGTGGGGTGGGAGGAGGTATTTTTTCATGCTTTGTGTGTACATAAAAAGATCTTCTACACTTTCCACAGAATCCATCCGATGAAGTGAGCTGTAGCTCACGAAAGCTCATGCTCAAATAAATTGGTTAGTCTCTAAGGTGCCACAAGTACTCCTTTTCTTTTTGCGAATACAGACTAACACGGCTGTTACTCTGACACCTGTCATTAAGAACAGTCTCACTTTGTCACACTACCATTATCCCTAAGATCCTCTTTAGTCTTATTAAAGACTGAGGCAAAGTATTTGTTTAGATCTTGGGCCATGCCTAGATTATCCTTGACCTACACTCCATCCTCAGTGTTTAGCGGTCCCACCTCTTCTTTCTTTGTTTTCTTCTTATTTATATGGCTTTTAATTGCCTTTGCAAGGTCCAACTCTACTTGACTTTTGGCCTGTCTCACTTTATCCCTACATGTTCTGACCTCAATAAGGTAGCTTTCCTTGCTGATCCCTCCCTTCTTCCACTCCCTGTAGGCTTTCTGCTTTTTCTCAATCACCTCTCCGAGATGCTTGCTCATCCAGCTTGGTCTACAACTCCTGCCTATGAGTTTTTTCCCCTTTCTTGGGATGCAGCCTTCTGATAGCTTCTGCAGCTTTGATTTAAAATAATCCCAGGCCTCCTCTGCCTTTAGATCCATGAATTCTTCAGTCCAATCCACTTCCCTAACTAATATCCTTAATTTTTGAAAGTCAGACCTTTTGAAATCAAACACCCTAGTTGCAGATTTATTTTTGTTAATCCTTCCGTTCAGTTTGAACTGAATTAGTGCATGATCACTTGAGCCAAGATTGTCCCCTACAACCGTTTCTTCCATGAGGTCCTCACTACTCACCAAACCAAATCTAAGATGGCATCCCCTCTAGTCGGTTCAGCAACTACTTGACGAAGGAATCCATCAGCTACCGCATCTAGGAAAATCTGAGCCCTATTGTTATTACTAGCACTCATCCTCCAGTCTATATCTGGGAAGTTAAAGTCTCCCGTGATCACACAGTTCCCATTAGTATTTACTTCATTAAAAACATTAAAAAGGGCTCTATCCATATCCAGATTAGATCCCGGCGGTCTATAGCTCACCCCAAGCACTATCCCAGGGGAGGCTCTAATAGTTTTCTTCCCCAAGAATGATGGGAAGATGGGCACTGTGGTTTAGGATGGGTGCAGGGGGTGGGTTTGGGATACCGGGGGGTTGAGAGGAGTGCCAGGGCAGGGGGTGGGGTTTGTGCTGGGGGTGGAGTTAGGATACCTGCGGGGGGGTGGGATGCCCGTATGAGGGGTATTAGGATGGGTCGCTGGGTGGGGGGTTGGCACCGTCCATTTGCCAGGGTACCTGGCATTAGCACTGGGCTGTGCCAGCTGCTGGAGAGCCGGCTCTCCTGGACAGGGGTTGGCAGCGTTGGGCAGGTCCCGGTGTACCCATCCCCCCAGCCAGCCAGGGGGAGATCTGGGACAAGTCCCCGTGTGCCCACAGCCTCCATCAGGTCCCGCGTGTGCCTCCTCCCTGCCCCCCCACCACATGGGATCCGGGGGGCCCGTCCTAGTGTCAGGGCACATCTCAAGGTTGGCTGATAGTCCTTGGGATGGTGCCCAGCATGGGGGTTCTGAGCTGGCCCCAAGCTGCTGCCAGCCCCAGCAGACCCCCGGGCCCGTTGGGGGGATGCAGGGCGGGGGGGAGGACACGTTCTCCAGGACTGACGCTGCCCCTGTTCCCTCCCCAGTTAGCCAAGCGCCTGGCGAGCTACCACAAGGCCTTCAAGGAGATGCCCGAGGAGGAGTCCCTACTGGACAGTGAGTGCCGCTCTCCCCAGCCGCCCGCCTGCCCCCCCATGCCTTGCCCACTCACCCGCCTCTCTGCCCCTCGCCCACAGGTGTCTCCTGTGCCTGGCAGAGGGAAGTCCCCTATCACGGGCGCCTCTACGTCTCCCAGAACTACATCTGCTTCCACTGCAGCATGCTGCTCCGGGACGTCAAGGTAGGGCCCCTGCGCCCCACGGTGGCTCACGTGGGCTGGTAGCACGGGGGGGGGGAGGGGAAAGAGGGACAGGCATGGGACGTGTGGGTTGTGTGGGGGAGGGGGTGGGTGGGATGCATGTAGGGGGCAGGGGGCTGGGATGTGTGGTTTGTGTGAGGGAAGGGAGGGAGGATGGGGTGGAGGTGTGGGGGGGCGGGGAGATGGGATGGGGAGCGGGTGGGGATGTGTGGGGGAGGGGAGGTGGGCTTGGGGAGGGGGTGGGTGGGATGCATGTAGGGGGCAGGGGGCTGGGATGTGTGGTTGGTGTGGGGGGGCAATGTGTGGGGTGGGGGTGTCTGTGTGCATGTTTTATCTCCACTCCCTCTAGCCCCCGAGGGCAGCGCTCCCCTCCCCCAGGGAAGCCAGCCCAGCAGCGGGTTTGCTCACCATCGGCCACCCCAGCTGGTCCCCACGCGCCGGCTCCTCTGGGCTCTCTACAGCTGCCCTCTGAGCTTCCACCCTGGCACAGGTGCCAGGCAGCCTTACTGAGCCGTGGCCGGCCTTCTGTGGTGCTGCCCCGGGACTGGCACCAACGCCCGGGCCAGGGGCTCAGCACCCGGCTGGAGGTCGAGTGCCCCCCATCAGGCCTATGGAGCTGGCTGGTGTTGGCATGGGATGCCAGTGGCTGCCAGGCGCCCAGGTTAGCTGTTGGTGTCAGAGACTGAGGAGGCCCCCGGGGGGGTCTATGTCAGGGGCTCCCGCAGGGACCATGGGGCAATGGCTCAGCCCTCGGGGCACAGCTGGAGGAGGCAATCCCCACCCCCACGTGCCCGACCCCACCCTCACCGCTCTGGCACCCCAGCGGCTCCTAGCTCCTGTCTCTGCCGCCGTGGGGTGCAACACCCCCGCCTGCCCTGGGTCCTGGGGACCAAAGCAATCAGGGGCATGACCCTGGCCTTGGGGCCTCGCCCCTCCCAGAGCAGGCGTGATGCCATGAGCGATGGGCCCATCACCCACTAGACCCCTCTCGCCCTGCAGGTGGTGATCCCCATCTCCTCCATCGCCGTCCTCAAGAAGGCCAACACGGCGCTGCTGGTGCCCAACGCCCTCAGCATTCGGACCGTGGAGGGTGAGAAGGTGCGAGCAGAGGGCAAGGCACGTGGTGCATCTACCCGCCCACAGCACCGGGAGCGGAGTGAGCCCGGGGTAGCCCATGCGGTGCCTTCCCCCGCTTGGCACCGGGAGCAGAGCGAGTCCCAAGCACAGGGCAGATCATGCAGTGCCCCCCTGCCCCTGGCACCAGGAGCAGCACGAACCCCACTGAGGACTGGGGGAGTGCAGTGAAAAGCATCGGGAGTGTTGAGAGGCTGGAGGGATGAACTGGTGGGCAGTGGGTGGACAAGCGAGCTCCTCTGACCAGCCTGGGATAGAGACAGCCACATGGGTGGGGAACCAGCTCCCAGCATGGGTGGGGTGGGCACAGGAGTGGTGGGAGGGTGGACGCTGCGGCTGTGCGCTCCCCGGGAATCAGGCCAATCCCTTCTCCCTCTCTCCTCCTGCAGTTTCTCTTTGTCTCGATGCGGACCCGGGAGGCCACGTACCAGCTGCTGCGATCGGTCTGCAAACACCTGCAGGTGGGGACTGTGCCAGGCTTTTGTGCCTGTTCTCCCGTGTCTCTGGCTGAAGGGGCTGAAATGCTAATGCCCATCTGCTAATGCCCCGCCATCCTGATCCCCAGCTAGTCCATCCCGGGCTCCCCTTACTCTTGCAGCTCTGTCGGTGCCCCTCAGTCCCCACGGCCATGCCAGACCTTCTTCCCCCCCGCCCCACGCACTGGGCTGTTGCCCCTCGTTCCTGCCCCTGGCCCATGTGTTCCAGACCGGAGGGAGTGAGTCAAGCTAATGTACACGCTGAGGAAGAAGGTCCCAGAGGTGACCGATCCTGAGCCTCCTTGTGCCTGGGAGCCGTCCCCCAGGTCAGGGGAAGCCTCCGTCTCCTGGCCTGCCTGTGCACTGTGCACCAAGGGCTGGGCTGGCCAGCGTCTAGCAGGCTCTGCTGCCTGCCGGGGGCTCACTCTCCTCGTTGTTCTTGTCCAGGACGGGAGCACGAGCACCAGCCCCCTGGCCTCGCCCGCCAACACCAGCTCCGAGCAGCTCCGCGAGAAGTCTCTGGTAAGATCCCCGACTCCCCGGCTGGTGGCACAGACTGTGGGCAGCAGGGCAGAGGGGCTGGTGCCGCTGTTAGCAAACCATGGAGATTCCTGAGAGCTGGGCCAGCTGCCCCGAGGCCCCGACAGCGCCCGGGGCTCTGCGCGGTCCAGGCGGCCCAGTACCCACTTGGCGCCATGCTGCCAGGTCACAAAGTGGGTGGGGGTGACTCTTTAAGCCCTGTGTGCGCAGGAACACACCTGCCTGGGCACCCTGGTGGCTTGGACGTGCCCTTGGTCACCCGGCTGCTGCCCAGCTCCAGGGGCTTGGGCTTTCCCAGAACTCGTGTTGTCTGGTCTGGGTGGAGGTGGCTTGCGGGCCAGCAGTCCTGGCTGTCTGGGGCTTCTCCGTGCCCCCTTCTGCCGCTCTCTGCCGGGCTGCCCCAGTCAGACACCCCCTGTGGGGCAGCTGGAGCTGGGACCTGTGAACCCAGGGCACATGGAACTGTGGGCAAAGCCCAACCCCGGTTCTAAACTCCCAGGAGTGGGAGTGGCTCTGAATCCAAGCCCCAGGCTGAGCCAGACCCCTGAGCTGGCCCCCTGCTCCTCAGCGGCCTCTCCCTCCCTGCCTTGGGGATCCCTAAGCCGAGGCTTCTCCTTTGCCACTTAAACCCCGTTGGCATTGCCAGTGTCTTTGCAAAGCGCGCGGGGAGCACACTGAGCAGGGCACTTCCGAATGCAGCAGGGGCCCCATTGTTTTCAGCAGCCCCCTGCCCTGTGTCACCCAGGGCTCTGGCACCCCTGCCCTTCGCCACAAAGCCCTTGGCAATCCCAGCCAGATCACAGGGCATGAATCACCCCCACCCTGGGTTTGATTGGCCCGGAGCTGCGAGCTAGCCTTGTGCTTGTTATCGGACTAGGGCCCTGCCTGAGGGGCGCGGCAGGGCCTGGCTCAGACACGGGCGCCAGGAGCAGCACGAGTGGCTCAGAAGCCGCCCTGGGCTGGGGGGAGCCTTGGCGGAGCTGCTGGACGGGGGCTGCCCAAGACTCGGGGCTGCAGTTCAACCCATGTCAGACTGTCCCCTAGCTCAGTGGGTCGAGACCCCTCCTCAGATTCTGTCTGCCCCTCGTCCAGAGATGGGGGAACTGAACCTGGGGGTCCCCCGCATCCCATCAGGGAGCTCTGACCCCCGGGCTAATGGCTAAGGTGGGTGGCAGCAGCTTTGAGTGGGGCCTGGGCCCCCAAACACGCCACCGGCTGGGCCCCGCCAGACGCCCGCCGCCCCTGGGTTTGTGACTCACTCCGGGGTGCAGGCAGGAGGCGGTAATCCAGGTGCCAACAGGGAGGCAGCGGTGCCCAGGCCCAGGAACTTAGGTGCCGAGAGAATTTTGTCCGGCAAGTTGAGGTGCTGAGGGAGGCTAGTCACCGGCAGGGTGAGGCAGGAGTTCTGTGCACCTCCGAGGGGCCAGAGTGAGGACTTGAGGGTCTAACTGCTCTGAGCAGCCGGCCCTGAGCGGTGCTGCGACTCGGAAGCAGGTTGGGGCTGGGGCTGGGGAGATGGCAGGAGGAGGCAGAGACCAGCGAGCAGTGGGGAGGGAGCCCAGGGCCCCTTTTGCGACCTGCAGCTTTTCCCCTTTCAGACCTCGAGCCAGTCGGACCTGGAGCTGAACCCCCCCGAGTCTGACGGCCTCCTGGACCAGCAAGGTGAGCCAGGGCCCTCAGCCGCGCCCCCTGCCCAGAGCCTGGCCCCGCAGCCCTCGCACACTCAGCAGCCCACGTGCAAATGAGCGTGCAGCGAGGAGCTCCCTAGCGGCCTCCTTTCTCTTCCGTTCCAGGCAGCATCCTGCGCCCTCGGCCTGCCTCTGAGTGTCACAGCGTCCGGCTAGGAGCATGGCTCCAGTGACAGCCGCTTGTATTAGGTAGAATGAGTTTGACCAGCCTCCACTCAGCCCCTTCCAGAGCCATGGCGGGGCGGAGCTGGTGACGGGTGGCTCTGTGGCCCCAATCTCCTGCCCTGTCTGGGACACAAGAACCCCCCAAGGCAGACAGAACACACCATGCCCGGCCCACAAGCCACAGCCCCCCAACCTCCCTGGGGGCGGCACACGGGAGCCTGGCACCTGGCTGGGCACAGGCAGCGCCAAGTGACTGGGTATCCTATTGTGTATGCAGACGGGCTGGGCCCGAAGCAGAGCAGAGAGGGCGAGGAGATGGCAGTGCCGAGCAAAGGTGAGTGGATCCCTCAAGCCCACTCAGGGTCACCGGCTTGGCTCGGGGTGGGGGTACCCAGGCAGGAGCCCCTGTGTCTGCTCTCCTGTGGGCACTGTGCCCCAGTGCAGAGCTAAGGTGGTTCCATGGGCCCTCCCCAGTGGCCATCCCTAGCACATGCCAACGGGCACCCGTCTGCAGCCACTCAGGACATTGTGACAGGTGTGTCCCTTATAGCTCTGGGCAGCTGGGAAGGGAGGTAGCTGGCATCCCTTGGCTGCTGAGCCCCCATCCCAGCGGGTCTTAGCAGGCTCCAGATGTGCCTCCCAGCTACACCTCTGCCCATAGGGCAAAGAGCTGCTGTTGTGGTGTTTGGTGCCAGGGCATTGGCACATCGCCTCCTCGCCAGCCCTGCTGCAGGGTCAAGGCGAGTCTGACCAGGCTGGCCTCCCTGCAGCCACCCCCGACTGACACCGGGGGCAGAGCTGGGCCAGCTGGCCCCTCTGCAGGCGCTTGGCATGGACCTGGCGCAGGCCGTCCTGCAGCTCCCTTGGCTGCCACTCGTTACACGCACCAGGCAGGGAAGCCAGTCCCTGGAGGGGTCATCTCCTGGCTGCAGAGGGTGGCTGCTATGAAGGCTTCTGAGGGCGGCTGGCAGTCCTGGGGGGCTGTGCAGTGGCAGATCCCCCCGATCCCTCCCAGGGTAGCTAAGGACCACAGCCCTGCCTTCCCCCCATCAGTGACTGCTCCTTTTCCCGGCAGAGGGGGCGTGGCCAGGCAGGCAGACGAAGAAGACGCCCAGGGGCTGGTGGGCGCAACTGAGCACCCTCAACGTCGTCATCCTCATCTACCTGCTGCTGTGAGTCCCGGGGCAGTCAGCCCAGCGGGCACCAACAGGGCCTATTCGAGTGTGGCACTGGGCAGCGCTCATAGCAGGGCACCATATGCCAGTGCCTGCCCCCCCCCATTAGCTCCAGTGCCCACAGACTCAGCCTGGTGCTCCTGGCACAGGGGAGATGTGGTACTGGGGCAGAATGTGCCGGTCTCTGGTTCTGTGTGCCGAAGCCCCGGCCGGCTGGTGCCCTGGCTGCCGGCTCCTGCTGTGCCTTGCACAGACTGACCCTCTCGCTGTGTGCGTGGCACCTGGGGGCAGCAGCCTGCTGCATTCCCTAGCTCCCTGCCAGGCTGTGCCACACCCAGCAGCTCCCAGACGGAGCTCGGCGGCTCCCAGCCATCACACGAGAGCTTGGAGTTTGCGGTTCTACTCTGGCTAAACCCAGCTCCTGTGGGCAGTCTGCCCTGGGGTCCAGGCACTAAGCAGCTATTCGTCAGCCCGGCTCTGCCGGGTGAATGCCCCTGCCTGGTGTGCCAGGCTGGCCTGGCTCTCTCTGTTCACACTGGCCTCCCCGCAGGGTGGTGGTGTTGCTACTGTCCTCGGGGTACATCGGCCTCAGGATCGTGGCCCTGGAGCAGCAGCTGATGTCAATGGGGGCCTGGCCAGAGCTCGACCTGCAGCACCAGTGAGTAGCAGGACCCCGCGGGGGGAGCTGGGAGAGGAGAGAACCAGCAAGCGGGGAGGGCCCCAGCCCCCGTTCCCAGCCATGGTCCAGGGCAACAGTGGGGACCCCAAACCCTGGGTCCCTTGGGCAGGTCACATCCCCTCTTCGGGCTGTTTGAGGGGCGGCTGCTGTCTCTCTGGTGTCTGTGCTGGGCCTGGCACAAGGGGAGAGAGAGCAGCCAGCCAGCCCCTACTGGCTGGGCGTGTTGGGGGACCCCCAGCCCCCCTGGTGGAAAACACAGGGCCCTTAAGTCAAGACTCCCACCCAGAGCCACAGCAGCTGGACCCCAGGGCCGGCACTGCAGCGTTTGCAGGGGGCTTTGCTGGGGGGCTGGGGAAGGCAATGCCTAGATCCTGGTGGGCCAAAGGACTCCTCGGTATCTGCTCCAGTGAAAGCCCCTCAGTCCTTTGCCCCCCGCAGGGCTGGGTGTCTGCTGGCATGTGGCACGTAGCCTGGGCGTGCAGTAAGGGGCATGTGAGGAACTGCCTGCCTGCCATTTTCTGTTTGCCATCGGGTCCTGAAGCACTTACATGAGAGGAAAGTGATCAGGAACAGTCAGCATGGATTCACCAAGGGAAGGTCATGCCTGACTAATCTAATCGCCTTTTATGATGAGATTACTGGTTCTGTGGATGAAGGGAAAGCAGTGGATGTATTGTTTCTTGACTTTAGCAAAGCTTTTGACACAGTCTCCCACGGTATTCTTGTCAGCAAGGTAAAGAACTATGGGCTGAATGAACGCACTATAAGGTGGGTAGAAAGTTGGCTAGATTGTCGGGCTCAACGGGTAGTGATCAATGGCTCCATGTCTAGTTGGCAGCCGGTGTCAAGTGGAGTGCCCCAGGGGTCGGTCCTGGGGCCGGTTTTGTTCAATATCTTCATAAATGATCTGGAGGATGGTGTGGATTGCACTCTCAGCAAATTTGTGGATGATACTAAACTGGGAGGAGTGGTAGATATGCTGGAGGGCAGGGATAGGATACAGAGGGACCTAGACAAATTGGAGGATTGGGCCAAAAGAAATCTGATGAGGTTCATTAAGGATAAGTGCAGGGTCCTGCACTTAGGACGGAAGAACCCAATGCACCGCTACAGACTAGGGACCGAATGGCTAGGCAGCAGTTCTGCGGAAAACGACCTAGGGGTGACAGTGGACAAGAAGCTGGATATGAGTCAACAGTGTGCCCTTGTTGCCAAGAAGGCCAATGGCATTTTGGGATGTATAAGTAGGGGCATAGCGAGCAGATCGAGGGACGTGATCGTCCCCCTCTATTCGACATTGATGAGGCCTCATCTGGAGTACTGTGTCCAGTTTTGGGCCCCACACTACAAAAAGGATGTGGATAAATTGGAGAGAGTCCAGCGAAGGGCAACAAAAATGATTAGGGGTCTGGAACACATGACTTATGAGGAGAGGCTGAGGGAACTGGGATTGTTTAGTCTGCAGAAGAGAAGAATGAGGGGGATTTGATAGCTGCTTTCAACTACCTGAGAGGTGGTTCCAGAGAGGATGGTTCTAGACTATTCTCAGTGGTAGAAGAGGACAGGACAAGGAGTAATGGTCTCAAGTTGCAGTGGGGGAGGTTTAGATTGGATATTAGGAAAAACTTTTTCACTAGGAAGGTGGTGAAACACTGGAATGCGTTGCCTAGGGAGGTGGTGGAATCTCCTTTCTTGGAAGTTTTTAAGGCCTGGCTTGACAAAGCCCTGGCTGGGATGATTTAGTTGGGGATTGGTCCTGCTTTGAGCAGGGGGTTGGACTAGATGACCTCCTGAGGTCCCTTCCAACCCTGATATTCTATGATTCTATGATTCCTGGGCTGGTAACGTCCATGCAGCCAAATCTCAATTCTCCGACGAGCCAAGGAAGCGGGACACCAAGGGGGGCACGTGGCCTCCCCCCGTGACTTCTCCCCACCCAGCCTGGGGCCCCAGTGCTCTCCCCATCCCTGCCTCAGCCCACGTTACCTGGGGGGGCTCTGCCCTCCTGCTGTGCCGGACACCGCCCCCAGCCCCGTCCTCCGGCGGGGCTGTACAGACCCAGGAGATGAGTGTGGAAGGGCTGGGGGGGCGGTACAGCCGCGCTGGAGGAGCTGCTGGGGTGGGGCCGTCCCACGGTCACCGCGGCGGTTCCCTGCTGAATGTGCCCTCCACGCTCAGCTGGGGACTTGGGCCTCCAGGCCCGGGGGCAGGGAGGGGAGCAGCTGCCAGAGACGGGAGCCCCTTGCTTGAGTGGGGTTCGCTGGGAGAGACCCAGGGGAGCAGGGGGGATTCCTCCCCCCGGCCCAGCCCGTCTCTGCCTCCCCTGCCCGTGCCTGGCTCCTGCTCCCAGCTGGGAGCTCTGCTGGGACCCACAACTCAGCCCTGGCCCTGGCAGGGAACAGTGGCCACCCTTCCTCCCCATCGCTCTCGGCCCTGAACCGGGGCAGGGCCCCCAGCCCGGCACAGGCCCCATGAGGGAGGGGGAGGGGGAAATGAGGAAACCGAGGCCCAGAGATGAAGTGATTTGCCCCCAGGAAGTGGTGAGGGGGCTCCCCCAGCCCAGTGCTGTATTCCCACATCCGCCAGCTCCTGTGGGCCTCCACTGGATACACGCAGCCCCCAGTCGCAGCCCCAGCCACCAGCACGAGGCCCAGGGCAGTGCTGAGGGAGCCCGGCGGGGCTGTGCCCACAGCCCAGCCTCTGAGAGGGGGCAGGATGAACGGGGGAGGGTGCCGACGCCCTGGCAGCAGGCAGGATTCCCCAGGGCGCTAACCCCTGCTTTTGGCAGAGGCTCAGCAAAGGCAAACGGGCAGGGAGCCGCCCCAGGTCTGCGACCGACACTGGGCGCCGAGGTACGGGGCACGCAGGACGCACTGGAGCCTGCAGCTGTTGGCCCTATGGAGGGCAGGTGCTGGGTGCAGGGCCAGGCATGGAACCCAGGAGTCCGGGCTCCCAGGCCCAGGGCGCAGCAGGCAGCCATGCTCCTGTCAGTGCTGTGCAGGCTGCGTTCGTTCTTTACCGGGCGGAAATGAGTGTCAAGTCCCTGGCTCTGGGCCCATGGCTGTGGAGCCGCTTGGCCTTTTCCTGCTGTTCCCTTTACGCTCATTTCACATGGGGTGAGGGGGGCCCCAGCTGCAGAGCAATTGGCTTTCTGCCTCCCCGTCCCCTCCTAGAGAGCCACGGCCCCCACTCCGGGTGCAATTCACCACCTGCTTGGGGTTAACGGGAGGTTGCCCGATCACCGTGTAGGGAAACAAAGGCGAGGGGGCACCCAGAGCCCCCACTGGTGAGGCTGGACCTGCTCCTGGCCTGCTGCGCTGTCCCCCCAGCTCCATGCCAACCGGGGGGCACTTATCACCCCCCCCCGCCAGCCCCTTGGTCAGTGGCAGTTCCGGGTTGTGGGGGGCAGGCAGGGGGGACTGAGAACAGCGCCTGTGATCGGGGCTGGGGTCGGCACTGGAGCAGTAATTACCCCCCATTTAGTCAGCAGCGAGCAATGGGAAGCGACCGGGCTGTTATCCCCAGGGGCTGGGAGGCCGTGTCCCTGCAGCCACCACAGCCCGCCCGATTGTGGCACCTTGTGAGCAGCCACTAGCCTGAGGCTGGCAGGCTCGGCTGCACCAGGAGCCCTGGCCCACGTGGGCTGCGGGCATGGCACCAGTGGGATGCTTCGTCTGCAGCTGGCCCTCGGGTTACTCTCCAGCCGCAGCCTCAGGACCCTGCCGGGAGATTTGTTAGCTGGACGAAAGGTGGCATTACCACCCCCTGCCGGGGGAGTCGGCTGCAGTTTCAGCTCTCGGCCCCCCAGTAACTGGGGCGATTCCATTTGTTTACGGAGGAGGGGTTGAACCCACGCCAGGTGCCCTCTGAGCCAGCCTGTCTTTTCACAATATTACTGCCCCCACCGCTGTAGTAATTTGCCCCGCTCATTTGCTTAACCAGTTTTCTCTTGTTTATGTGAAGATACAAGACGACCTGAAACCAGGGCGGAGTCAGGCTGCGCTCAGCGCCAGAGCCTCGTGCCCCCGAAGGACCAGGCTTGCTGCTGGCAGATGCCACCCTTAAAAATGGGCTGGAATCCCATGGCTACGCATCAGCTCTCCCCCCCCATCCTGAGCTGTGTCTTGCCCTCAGCTGAGCTGGGGCTGATTTTTAAGGAGACTGGGGGAGGGAAATTAACCAACAAGGCCTGGACCAGGAACCACTCCTCGCTGCTGAAATGCAGACAGAGCAGTGCGGATGCAGAGGACAAGTTGAACTTCTCCTTCTGAGCGGTCAGGAGCTTCAACACTGTGCCTTAAAGACCCCCCTGTGCTGCGTTTCATAGCGCACCAGCTTCCCTTTGGCAACCTGCAGAAGCCCTGGTGCAGCTGATTTCGTTGCACTCGGGCTTCCCACTCAGCCACACGGTTTGCAACCTCAGCTGTACCGGACGCAGGGATTGAACTGCACTGAGCAAGCAACTTTCACGCAACCCTCAGCTGAGGCAGCAAAACCGTGATGGAATCGGTCCGGCTGCTGCGTCCTTGTGCCAAAAAGGAAAGGGGCGTTTTCGGCTTCCGCCTGGGGCCCTTGGCGAGAACACAGATCACAGCTCCAGCCGGGCCGGGAGGGGAGCCCTGTCCCGCGTGAGCAGCTGCATGGCTGTCACAGTAGCTGTGCAAGGGCGCTGGCCTGCCAGGCCCCAGAGGCAAGGACAAGCCTCCTGCTGACCTCCCTATGGCGTTTCACTCCTCCAGCACTGAGTGTCACGGGGACGCTCTGGGCCCCAGCGGGGCTCCCTTCGGGCACGGGCTGCTGGGGGGGGCTGCTGGGGGGGGCTGCTGCTGTCAGACTCCAGGGGCCCCAGCCAGGCCTGGGGGAGATGAGGTTGCTGCTACAGCCGTGGGGGGGGTCCCCTAGCACCACTGGTCACAGCCCCTGCAGCTGCTGGGAGGACTGTGGCAGCGGGTGGGCCATGGGTTCCGGTCAGTTACAGGCAGGGGGCTGGGGGTCCGTGTCATAGCACTGAACCCAGGGGGTATGGCCCCCGCCCGTTCGTTCAGGAACCAAGCCCAGCACCCCACTGCCCAGCCGGCTCCAAGAGCAGAACAAGGGCCCAAACCCACCCACTGGTGCCACCCACCCCAGGCTGGGGTGAGAATCCAGGTCAGACTCGCGCCCTGTCCCCATGGGCCAGACTAGCCAGCCCCTCCCCTGCTCTCCGTTGAGCTTGGCATAGTTCCTTCCTCCAGTGCTGCAGGCCAGCGCTCAGAGTCTGGGTAGCCAGGTGATGCCTGGGGAGAGTCTGGGGGCAGCACCGCAGGGCCATGCCCCAGCCTGGGCAACGCCAGACACTGCCCATGCCCGTGTGGGCACTGTGCCTACCCCTGGAGTTCAACCAGCAGGATGAGCCATTTCCTACAGCCCAGTGCTGCTGTCGGCCGACCCTGGCAGCTTGCCTGTGTCCGTCCCCCACAAGCCTTCAGGGCCGTGAAAGGAGGGTGGGGTAAAGGGCTGGGGTCTGTTGTTAATAAAGACAAGTCAGCCTCATGCTCCAACTCGTGTGTCTGCAGCAAAGCTCTAGGCCTACAGGGAGGGCTGGGAGCCCAAAACAGATGGATCCCACGGGATGGGGGCCACTTGAATCCCTACCATTCCCCTGCCCTGCAGCAGGACCCTCCAGCCTGGACCCCGGGGGACGTTGGGCCCCTGCCTTGCCGGCTCCCAGGACTGGCTCTGGGCAGGGAGAAGCCAGGGATGGGGGCGCTGGTGAGTGAGTGGGTCCTTGAGAGAGCAGGGGTGGGGAGGAGGGCCAGGTAAACCCAGCTGCCCAGGCAGGAGAGGCCTTGGGGGGGGAGGCCAAGGGGAGGGGGATAGTCTCAGGAAGCTGCTGGCCCTGCTCATCCTTTCATGGCTGGGGCAGAACCGTTGTCAGCCCCTGTGGCTGCCTGGAGCGGGAACAAAGCAGGGGTGAGAGGGTGGGTGAGCTCTGCCCCGGGCACGGCCAGCTCAGGGCAGCAATGATGCTGCTGAGGAAGAACAGAGCAGCAAGCCTGGGGGCCCAGCATCAGCCATATCCCCTACAAGGCCCCAAGCCAGTGTAGGGAGGAGCCCAGAGCAGGTTCTGCCCTTGGCACCTTGTGCCAGGGGAAGGGAGGCCAGGGGACTAGGGGTGATGGGTGAGCCCGAGAGCACCCTAGTAAGTGCATGTCAAGGGGAACCTGGGCCCAGCCCAGGAGCACAACCAGCCAGGAGCCCTCTTGCCCTGCCCACACGCAGCGCCGGTGCCTGCCCGGGGCAGAAACGAAAGTTCGGGGGGGGGGGGGTCGCTGCTAACCCCTCTGGCTGCCGCCCACTCCGGCCCCAGGGCTCGGCCGAGGGGCAGGGGTTGGGCAGAGCAGGGAAGGCAGCCGGGAGTTTCCCGTGTGGCGATGCTGTGTGCTCCCGGCGGGAGGGGGAGCCTGCTGGGGGTGGCACAGCCCTGGAGGCGGGCGCATGGGTGGGCAGGACCTGCTGCCAGCTCAGCCTGCGCAGACACAGGCCTGCCACGGGTACTCCATGTCCCCAGGGCTGCTGGCCACGAGCCCAGCCAGCCACGAGCCCAGAGCCAGGCTCATTGCAGCAGGACTCCCAGGAGAGCCCCTGGCAGCCCCACTCGCTCCCCTCAGCCCCCCAGAGGCAGCCTGTGGCAGAGCAGCGTTTACTGGTCGGTGGAGGGCTGGGCGCTGAAGAGCGGCCAGGTGCGGAGGTCCCGGGTGGTGAAGACGGGCCTGTGGGCAGCCAAGCAGGGGACGTAGCCAGCGTGGCCCTTCAGCTCACTGCTGGCACGGTTACGGTTGACAACTGTCGAGGGGAGAAGAGAGCAAGTGAGTGGGGGGCCTGGGAGAGACTCCGAGAACCACATTGGAAGCAGCCAGGCCTCGCCCATTGATTTAACGCTGCTGGCCCCTTCACACGCCTTCCCCAGGGCGCTCGGGATGGTGCGGGTCTTAACCCTGCGTTGCAGCTGGGGGACAGGAGAAGGGACGTGCCCCACCTGTGAGAGGCCATGGGGACAGGACAGGGGCCAAGCTGCACCCGAATCCACCTCCCCCTTTACAAATATACTCAGGCTAATGGCATGAGACTTAGCACTGCTCCGGGCCTCGCCCCCAGCCCCCCCAGCAAAGGAGGGGCCAGATCACTAGCCCTGCCCCGAGAAGGAAAGCGATTTGCCCAAGGTCTTGCAGGGAGTTGATGGCAGCATGAAGGGCAGAAGCCAGGAGTCCCCCAGCACACTGCCTCTGGGCCCCCTGTGTGAGTGTGTGGGGAGGGGGGAACAAGGAGAAGACTCAGAAGCAGCAAAAGGTCCGTAGGGGGTGGGAGTCAGTGACCTGCTTTGCCCACTCACTCCCCCCAGCCCTAGAGATCAAAGCCACAAGCTCTTACCATACTCCTTTCCGAGGATGGGTTTGTCTTTCCACAGGAAGGCCCCCCACCTGGTACTGGGCTCCAAGTACTGAGCTGGGACCACTGGGTCATACCACGATACCTCCCGCAGGTGCTGGGCATAGGCTGTTGGAGAAAAGCAAGCTGAGCAGAGTCACCGGGATGGGGCCCAGGCGTGGATCGAGGAGATGCAAAGCATGTTCCAGCAAACCCCACGACAGACTGTATGGGAATGATCTTCACAGCAGGCAATGTTCCTGCTGAGCTCAGCCAGTCAGCGAGGGGCTAGTGCCTTGAAACCCGCAGGTTCCCCTGCCTTATAGTTATTTATCCTACTTAACACAGCTCTGGCTGGTCTTAATAATGTGATTCTTTTCTTGTAACCATGTAAACTCCGGGCCTCGTTAATGTCTTGTGGCAAGGGGTTCCACTGGCTGGTTAGGCACCGTCACATGCAAAGGGTAACATTTCACACCTCAATCATACTGCAATCAGCCTCGTGCAAAATACTGGTTTTAAATGCATAGAAAAGACATTTCCCTGGCCCCTCTCCCCACTGCCTCAGCTTGTCAGTTACTTGAAAACTGATTTCCCCAAAACATCCCAAGGAGTCACCAGGGGGACAGGGCCTGGCATGGAAAATTTCAGCCCCCAAGGAGATTTTCCCAGGAGGTCACAAGCGAGTGACTTTGTGTCTTGCAACCCTCACGGGAAGTGCAAGAGATTTCAAAGCTGAGCCCGCGTTCCCCAAAGAGGGAGGAGCGGGGCTCTGGAAAGATGGGGGTTAGGTTGGGGCATGTGCAAAGCATCAGCCAGGGCAAGGGGGCAGAGGGAGTTCTTAGCCCCTGCATTGCAGAAACTCAGGCCCAGCTGATGCAATTTTGCATCACACCCAGTCAGCATGCATCTGTCAGCATGGATCTGTCCGTGCTGACTTGCCTCATGCCCTGATCCGTGGTGTCCCGGCCCCGGGGCCTCCTGCCGCAGTGCAGAGGAGAGCTCCTTCTCCACCTCCAAAACGCAGGTACCAACCTTCCCTGCACAGCTGTCCAGGTCCTTCCAGCTGTTGCACAAGGAATGTGAGCTCCCCCTACTGGACTGTTGGTGCATCATACTGACCCCGAGTGTACAGCAGGGCCCTGATTCCCCAACGTGCCCCCGAGGGCCCTGGCACGTTCCCACAAGGGGCAAATGCGCAGAAGCAGCAATGGGTGCGTGACTCATGCAGAGCATCAAAGCCTCAACTTGCTCCCACTTCCCATAACCTTGGGGCACCCTCGGCCTCCCTCCCCCAATCACTGCCCACAGCCTCGCTTGTGTACGGCACAGCCTTGACGCTGCCTCTGTGGAAATCCTGCATTTCCCCTGGCCTTGGCTATAGCAGCTCTGGAGCAATCCCTTCCCCCACTCCCACGAGGGCCGGTTAGCCAGGCTCCAGCGCACACGCGTGGTTAGAGGGGGTCCCATCGGCCCGGCCTGGGAATCAAGGTCAGCTCAAGACGTTCCTTTAGAAAAAACCTGACAGCAATTAGGCCACTGGTCTCATCTTGGACAGTCAGCTCTTCAGGGCAGGGACCGTCCCCTTGGTCGGTGTTTGTCCCGCGCCCATCACAGTGGGGTCCCAGGTGCTAGGATAACACACTCACTAAAAACTCACCATGTAGGCAGGTTGCCATTGCTACGCTCAGCTCACTCCCTAAAGGAGCCTGGCACGGAAAGATGCCCCATGCCATTAATTTGAATTTACCCACATCACCTCTGTATTCATTGTAGAAATGAGACTCCCGTGGCCTATAAAACTACTGCCTTGATTCCCCCGTTGCACCGACCCCATCGGCACTCACGCCAGGGCCGAGCGAGCGCAGAACTGGGCTGAAAGCTAATTGGCCTGACGCCCCGTTACCCTGCAGCTAGTGCTGTGCAGACACAGGGCAGCAGACAGCCCCCGGAGCTTTTAGGGCATTGGTTGGGGCTATTATTAAATGGCTGCTCCAATCGTGTGTTTAACACATATTTAGCCAAACAAGAGGAGGAGAATCTGCAAGATAATCAGTCAGGTTTCTTTCAGCACATCTTAGTGACATTAGTAGTTTTTTTTAAATTAGCGAAGTGCCTTGGGGCATGTCTCCACTGCAAATCCTCCCACCCCCACCTGGCAGTGCATGTAAGAGGCCAGATCTACAGCCCTGTGCCCCCAGGGTTTGCGCTCCCGGGCCGAAAACAGCTGTGCTGACGTTCCCGCTCCAGCTCTGGGACCCGGCGAAGGGGTGGGTCTCAGAAGGCAAATGGGAGTATCTGTACAGCTGTTTCCAGCCCTGGAGCATGAGGCTGAGTTTGAAGCCCTGGACTCAGACTCGCTGCTGCAGGGTTTTCTTGCCATGCCATTGGAGTCCGGGC